AAAATGAACCGCGTCCTTACGGGGCACAACACAGCCCAATAGAATTCCTGCCGTTTGACCGATTGGCGTTAGAGCGCCCCCGTCGTGATCGCATCATCCAAGCGCTCGAGCAATCCTGTCGCGTGATCCAAGCGATCGGATCGCGAAGTATGAACATGCCGAAATGTGAACTTACCGGACAGAATAAACACTGGCACTCCAGTCCAAGAGGTGAAAGCTCAGGCATCAGGCTTGGAAATGACATCACTTCAGACTTTATCACTGCCTGAAATTGTGAAGATTTCAAGGATAGATTGTTGCAGTGAAACAAGTGCTGATGAGCCTGCTTACCTGCATAGAAGAGGGAAACCAGTCCACGTTCACTCTCTTGTGCAGTCCTCCACCAAAACGAAACTTAGGGCTAGCAGTCAGACCTAACACGGTTGTTCTACGAGATTCCGGTGCATATTGTGATATACGGAACATTTCCGTTGGAAAAGTGATAGTCTGAAAAACTCATAGAAAATTCTCCTTGAAATAACAGTTGAGTAAATACCTCACATACCAAAAACTGCATGATATGACTTTCACATGAGAAATGTCCTTCCACGGACTGAACGGCACACCCGCAAAGTTCACAAAAGTTGCCTTTCTCTGAAAAAGGATGGGGAATTATGCGCGAGGATGTAATATTTAGATAGAAACTTACTGAATGCCACCAAAAATTCAATTCCACACAGTGGTCCGTAGTGTGTATCGCCCACTAATTTCCACTTGAAGGGACGCGTCGGAGTCACCGCATCGTAACCAGATTCATATGTGACCTCGACTGTAATTCAGTACTATTCTGGATAGAACTGGGAGCATCACTCTTCGAAAAAAATTTCAACTGCTCATAAAAATCGCCAAGATAGCAGCAAATTTAAACTGATATATACCTGTGACATTTTTACAAGGAAATAAAACTAAGCTGAAAACTCGTTTCGGCCTTATGTAAGGGGGGGGGCACGCGGCAATACTGCGGATCTCCATTGTTCTCAGGCTCGCATTGGAAAAGCGCAGATGGCCAGACATCGAGCAATGTACATACTTTTCAACGGCGTTTTGATTTTGGTCGGAAAGAAAAGTATAGATATCGATTTGGTTCGAGCGTTTTAAGCAAACACCGGCTTCAGCGAAATGCTCATAACGCTATGTCAATACCTATACTACCCATTTTCGCTCAAAACGCCAGCATTTCTCCCAAAACGCTCAAACCGCTATCTTTTCTCCGAAAACACTGGACCGCTAACCTTTGATACTCGCCTAAAAGTTTATTGCGCAGACAAAAAGTTTTAACGCAGCCTTACAAGTTTATGTCCTCTATACTTCGTGCAAGATCAAGCAAACGGAGAGGAAAAGAAGAAAAGGGAAAAAAAATAAGGAAAGGAGACTCTTTCGGTTGACATGTCCCGAGAACGTTGTAACCAAAGAAGGACTCCTTCTGCAAGGCTAGAATCAACGATAATAAGGACTTTAGCCTTGTGAGACTCAAGGGGAAGGAGCTCTAGGATGGGTGAATAAGTCAACAAGTATAGAAATCCAGCTTGCATTCCGGTAATCTCAGTTTTGCAATAGAATACCTAATAATGCCCCCCTCCCCAAAGTTAATACCGCCCTTTCTAGGACCAAAAATATACACTACTATCAAAAGGTATTTCTACGTAAAATCCTTCAAGGGAGAACTAACATCGCTCCAATAGCATCTTAACGGCAACTGATTGGCGATGACTTGGTGAGAGTTCATGCACATCCCAAATTCGGCTTAGAAGATCACTATTGCAGGCGATAAGTTGCCGACAAACCTAAACAATAACTATAAACTGAGTTCCCCACGTCTTAATATCAGATCGCATGAGACGCCAGAAATGTTGGTTTGTAGGGTTAAATAGTAGTACCACAGGGCGCAGTCTACACAGACTTCATTGTCGGGATATAGCAGCAGAGCGGTACGTGCAAGATCGCGTTCACACTTCGCAATCGCGCGACCATAACCGTGGGCGCTCCATCGCCAAGCGGTGCGCAACTGTAACGGCATCATTCAAATTGCGCGGGTTCACACAGTCTTAATTTGAATTGGGCCATCTGCTCTTGGCGGCCGAGCGCTCCAAGTCATTGTCGCGCGAACGCGAAGTATGAACGCGATCTAAGACATATGAAGACGTACTGCATTGACATCTCGTGACGTCAGCTTGTGACGTGTTAAGCGTAAATGACCAGAGCATTGTGTCCCCGTCATCAATGCGTCAAAAAACCGCTTGC